CAACTCCTTCAAATTTGAGGGTGTGGGCCACTATAACATTGCGTGCACCTTCTCTGGATCGACTTCGACTCCCCTGGCCGAGACCCAATGTCCTAAATATTCAATGCGATCTTGTGCAAACTGACATTTTTTAAGGTTGGCGTAAAGGGAGTTGTCCCTCAGAATGCCGAACACCACTGCCAGATGCTGAAGATGGGACTGCAAATCAGAACTATAGATTAGAATATCATCAAAAAAGACAAGGAGGAACCTGCGGAGAAACGACCGGAATATCCGGTTCATCCGGGATTGGAATGTCGCCGGTGCGTTTGTGAGGCCAAAGGGCATCACTAAGAACTCATAGTGTCCTTCGTGAGTGCGAAATGCCGTCTTCTCAACATCCCTTTCATCCACCCAAATCTAATGATACCCCGATTTCAGATCGATCTTCGAGCATATCTGCGACCCATGGAGTTCGTCAAGTAATTCCTCTACGACCGGTATCAGAAACTTATCCAGAATGGTAACACTATTCAGGGCTCGATAGTCCACACAGAATCGCCAACTTCCGTCTTTCTTCTTCACTAGCAGAATCGGGCTCGAATACGGGCTCACGCTAGGAGGGACTATGCCTGCCGTCAACATTTCTTGTATGAGTCGTTCGATCTCTGTCTTCTGAGCATACGGGTAACGGTACGGTCGCACATTGATTGGCGCGTGTCCCTTAGTTAACTGAGTTCGGTGTTCTATTTTCCGGTGTGGAGGAAGGTCAGTGGGGGACTGGAAGACGTTCTGATATTCGGATAACAATCGTTCCACCGCTGTAGGTCTTGCTGGGGGAGGGGTGGCCATGGGTTCCTCTGTTGTTTCCATGAGTCCCGTCAGGGCTCGTAACTCTACCAGGAAGCCCTGGTCCTGATCGTCCCAATTGCGAGCTAAGAGTTTCAACGTGACCTCTGCTTTGGTCAAAGACGGATCCCCTTTAAGGACAATCTGAGCTCCGTACCGGGTGAACGTCATCGTCGGAGCACTCTAATCCACTTCCATAGATCCCAAGGTGCAGAGCCACTGCATTCCTAACACGACGTCGATTCCCCCAAGCTCCAATGGTAGGAAATTTTCTAACACGGTCAGTCTGGGCAACTTGAGCACCACCCCTTTGCAGATCCCCTTTCCCTTGACCGCTACTCTGGTTCCCATGACGACCCCGTAATTTGAGGTTTCTACAGTCTGGATGCCTAGGGCATCAATGATCTTTTGAGATAGGGAGTTGTGGGTTGCTCCACAATCAATGAGCACCACCACCGCCATCTGATTTATCTCCCCTTTAAGTTTCATCGTTCCCGGGGTTGAAAAACCAACGATTGTGTTCAAGGATAGTTCAGCTCGCTCACCCATGACTTCCGACGTCGCCTCACGCTCATCGCACTCCATCGCAAACTCAGCGTTTTCGTCGTCGTGAGCCATTAGCACCATCAATTCCTGGTTTTTGCACCGGTGACCTATGAAGTACTTCTCATCGCATCGAAAACACAAACCTTTCTCTTTGCGTGCAAGGTACTCTGTCTCTGAAAGTTTTTTGAAATTCCCATCTTTCCTTGTTGCGGGCGTAGTCGTGGGAAACGTGGTAGGTCTGCTGGCTAGGGTTACCGTACGCGTGGCAGGCGTAACAACAGCTGGTTTGGGGTTACTTTTGAGGTTGTATTGGGCCGGCCCATGGGTATTTCCTTTTTGGGGCTCACTGTACTACTGCACCACTGCATTACGGTCTTCGATGAACTAGGCCGTTCTCATGACTCTGCGCAAACCTGTAACTTCTCTACTTAATATTTCGGCCCTAATGAGTGGGTGGAGACCGTTGACAAACATACCTTTCATAACCTCGTCTGATAGACCCTTCACTGGTGCTGACAATTCTTCGAACAATCGGCAGTATTCCATAATTGTCCCTTCTTGTCGTATAGCCAGAAATCGAGCGCATAGACTCCCCTCTTGCGACGGCCTGAACCGTACAAATAACCGGATTTTGAGGTCGTACCAGTTAGCGAAGTCCTCTTCTCTGGTTTCCCAACGGTACCATGATAGGGCATCCCCTTCGAAGCTGATAACTGCGACGGTCATCTTCTCCGTGTCCGTGAGTCGGTGTATGTGGAAGTATCGTTCCGCTCTGAACAACCACCCATCTGGGTCATCTCCGGAGAATATTGGCATCTCTACTTTTTTGAACTTACTCCGATCATAATGCTCTTCCTCCCACTTTCCCGGTGGTTCTCCCCTTCATTCGTCTTTGCCCATTTCTTCTGCAAATTTGCTTTTCTGACCTGATGTTTCTCCCTCCGATGTTGAACCTTCTCTTGATTTAGATGCCGAAAACTCCGAAACAAGCATGGTTACCACTTCCCGTGTTCTTCTATATGATTCGATATCGACCTTAAGCTGTCCTTAATCTCTTCCAGCTCTTTTTCGTTGTTTTCGCAACGTTCCTCTAGTTTCTTTTGCGTCATCTTGACCTATTTCCCAGGACAACGTGCTCTGATACCAAGTTGCAAGGACTCTTGCCTACAAAATGAAATTCAAAACACAAAGGTTGTGCCCGAAGGCTTACACAGTACCAACCGTTCGAGAGGGTTGGAGCTCTCCTCTGACATACAATACTTTTCCCAAAAGACAAGACATAAACATTCTAACATAACACAAAAGCACAAGTACCCCATTACCCCCAAAGTTCTCCCTTGTACTCTAATTGGGGATATTTACCCCTTTACCCCTCCTAGCATAAGTATTTACCACAGTAGGCGTCACAGGATATTATGTAAAGTAATTGAGAATGCTGACCTCCCACAAGTCTCTCACTGAGAAAATGTAGTCTAATATAAAGCCAAGTTCAAGCCAAGTTATGGAGATCATTGAAGCATATGAACATCGATTCCAAAGAACAACAGCCAACCTCATCTCAGATCCATATTGACCAGATAGAGGACCTGCCCAAACCTGTAATCAATACAACTCTTTATTTATTCATTCATTTTTGTTTGTTTTTCAATTGTACACCAAAATGAAATATCAATCTACAGAAATGCAGACTCAAATATGACAAATTACTGAATTTAGTTGCAACAATGGCTGCTCCCAAATAATATTAATATATATACTAAGATATATACCAGGGTATTAAATTTTCATCAATATTTCTATATGTTCATGAATTTAACACAACATGAGAAGTGAATCGACATTTTATAGTATCATGAAAAAAAAATTGACAAAAAATTATATATATATATATATATATATATATATATCAATAAAATACCAGACACAATAATATTAATAGTAATAAATTTTTTGGTTAAAATACTATTTTTTATTACTGTACTTTCAGCTTTGGTTCATTTTGGTATATGTACTTTCAAAGTTTTTTTTTTGTTTTTTTATTTTATTTTATGTGTTTTCAACTTAGTTCATTTTAGTTTATATGATTTTAAAATGTTCATTTTAGTCTTTGTAGTTTTAAAATGTAACCATTTTGGTCCATTTTTTGGCACATTTTGATCAACACAAGTTATATACGTAATGAAAACTAATTAATATAAAGTCATGATTACATTTCAAGAAATATATTGAGTGCAGTGTTACGTTGATACTGTGATAGAAAAAATAAGATTAAAAATAAAATTAAGTGGCCAAAATTGTTACTTTTAAAAAGTACCAGAACTAAATGAAGCCAATATACTAAAGTGAATATTTTGACGAAAATGAACCAAACTAAAATGGAGAAAAAAAAAAGATCATAACCTAAATTTTAACTCATTTAAAAAAGTGAACATGTATTTGTTAAGAATTTTTATTATTTTTATTTTTATAATTTTACAATCCATAAAGTGATGCAGAAATTGGAATACCTGAAGGCAACCATCTTTTCCTGAAACTTTAATCTTTCTTCCCTGGATCCCAAGACGATCTGCATTAAATAATCAATAATAAATTAAGCAAATAATCCATATTCTTGTAATTGTAACTACGAGTATTTTATTAATATGTTCAATGTGAACAATCATTATTATCTATTTTTAAAATATATATATGAATATTCTTTATACTTGAAATGATAAACATGATACAAATAAGAAAGTCAAGGGTGAGTTTGGTTGGCAGAAATTTGAAAACAAGGGATTTAATGAAAATCAAAGTTGTATTATTTCAGTGTTTTCAGATATGTGTTCGGTAGTAGATTTTGTAATTGAATCTCAATTTTAAAAATTGTTCAAGGTCTGTTTAGTAATATATTTGTAAACTAGAGGTAGTTACAGGCTAAATATTTAGTTTAATCTAAATTTATATTAATTAATTTATTAATATTTTTTATGAATTTTGTATGATTACTATTTTACAAGATTATATAATTTAGAATACATTATATTTTACATGTTTTAATTTTAACAAACATAAAATGAGTTTATAATATGAAGTAATGTATGTATCAAAGTTTTAGAATTTTTTAATGTAATTCTGCATCTTAAAGATTTCAAATTCTGAATCTGAAAACATTGAAAACATAAAAAAGTCATTTTCAGAATTTCTACGGTCAGTTTTAAAAAATGAATCTAAAAAATCTTGGCAAAGGCTTATTCAATCTGAAAACAAAAATAGAATCCGAGTTTTCAACCAAACAGACCCTAAGTTAGCAAGTAATTTGAAGCAAAATATGCTACTATAAAAAAAAGTGTTTCTAAGGTCCCAAAAATATCCCAACTCGAACCAATCCAATCCGTGAATAACCCTTCTAAGGTTTGTATATATATGTATAAGGTTTGTATATATATGTATATGTATATCTAAAAAAATTAATGACGTGACAACTAATTCTGATGAATATTTAATGTAGATGAATGTCGTGGATATTTGATTATTGGAGATATGTCAAAGATTTGAGTGCAAAGAAAAAAAAAGGCCCATTTCATGCCATGAATAACCTTGGAAACAATATAATATAAGATGGAAGACACATTAATGTTAACCTTGGTTTACTTCAATGACTTGCTTATTGCTTAGGATTTCCAAAGTTTGGGGAGACATGTTTCTCACATCACAACCAATCAAAAGAGGGGCCTGCAAATTTGTGCTCAAAATTTGAGATTTTAGAGGATAGAAAAGTTGCAATTGGAATCAAGTTCATGTTTGAATAATGTGGTTAAGCACACGTTCCCTTTAACTTTGTCATTTACCTTATTTGCAACCCTAAAACACAATATGCATTAGTATTGATATATACTTCAACTGATCATAGTAGATAGAATAGTATAATATTCTCGACCAATTAATAGATCAGTATTATGAACAAAGTTAAACTAGTTAAGACATTAGTAAAGAAGTTCAACTGGTCAAGACATTAATCACCTTTATTATAGACTTGTACGTGGTGGCTGTAGGATGATTAATAGATTGATATTTGTCCATATGAATTGGCATATATAGGACTCATGGTGAGTATTGGTAACAGATGAGTACATGTACATTTATTGGATATATTTTTCTTTTTTAATGAAAAACTAGCTTTTATTTTTTTTCTCTCCTCAACCCAATCTTATCGAACAACTACTTAACCCTACAATATTTAATAATTATCAGAAAACCCGCAAGATTTTTAATATCATATGTAATTAATTAACTACCGAAAATTCTTTTAGCGTATGTTTACTGTTTTCACGTGCGTAGATGTCAATAGGTCAACCTATGGTGGTTAGTAGATATAGAAATTCATCGTATAATCGTGATAAAAAAGTGGACGAAAGAGATATAAAACCTTCATCAAAGCCCATATGCTAAAATGAGAACGGTATTCGTTATAAGTCATGCCTCCATTGCCAACTTCCAACATATCTGGATCTGTCCATAGAAGGTGTAAATTGGGAACAAATTATGGAGAAATCTCAATACTTCGAAAGACAAAATCACATTATTTTCATACCATTCCAACCACCAGGTCCTGCATAGGCTGCCCACTTATCATTGATATCTGCAATACTAGTCATGCTTCAACCAAAAAAAAAAGAAAAAAGAAAAAAAAAACAATCAGCTTCAAATAGATGAAGATTAATAGGCACCCTTAAAACCAAATGGAAGCAATTATGAAAGAGATAATGATAGTGACTTTTTTCAAGAACTTGAAAGCATGCATGACATGAAGGATTATAGGCAAACAAGTTTTGAAGAGTTTTTAGATAGCACGAGAGAGAAATTGAAATACCCGTATCGAAAATGTGAACATAGTCTCACATCGAAAGAAAGAAAAGTCGTTAAAAAGTGTTACGAATTGATTTTGTGACCGTCTTTAAAACCAAATAAAAAATAAAAAATTTCACTTCGAACTCTCAACTGTTAAATGTCAAAAAAATGGATAGGTGTTCGCAGAATCATCCATCAAGAAAAGAGAAAACAAGACAGGTAATGAAAAAATTATCACTAATTAATACCTTAATATGTTAAAAGATATAGTTAGAAAATGTCACAATTTGATCTTCGATAACAATTAAAAAATGTCAAAAAACACATTTCATGATAGTTTGATAATGGTCAATAAAATAATAACAAAAATTGCACTTCAATCAAGAAAAATTTAACCACGACGATTTATAAACCTAAAAAGAACCTAATCACGACGGTTTATAACCATCACCAATTTCTTTTGTAATTAATGACAGTTTAAAATTTGATAATGACATTTTATAATCGTCACGAATCTATCAACTATAATGTTCTTTGTATCATTTTGCTAAAAGCTAAAAATCACTTTGAGTTTTATTTAGAGTTGGTTTGGGAGTGATGGCATGATATAAGAGATTTTGAAAAAAGAGATTTAAGTATAATTGATTTTTCAAAATCACCCTCTAATTATACCGGGTGAAAATCAGTTTAAAGTGATTTTAAACTTTTCTAAAATCAATTTTTTAATTTGCGAACATAATGAATAGAAAAGAGAATGATTTTGACAATGACAAAATTAATTTTAACCATACCAAAATCACTCCTAAACACATCTTTAAAAGGGTTAAATAATGCATTTTTCCATTATCAATTTAGGGGAAGTGACTAAAATTTGTAACCACTTAGATGAGTTTAATACAAACTTTGAAGTTTGGGTTAATATTGTGAACAACATTTTTTGACACTATAGTATTTGGTCGTTAAAGAAACTTAGTAAAATTTTAATATCTTTGATGGGTAATTTCGTCTCAAATCAATTTTACTTAATCCCTTATTAATTTGCCCTAATTAATGACAGTAGAACCTGACCTGTCCCATGAATCACTAATGTCAATTGTTGTACGCCAACTGTTTCCGATCTTTGGAGCCCATAATGCAGGATCATCAACCCCCCTGCAATTAAAAACAAACTTACAATCACCGTATTAACCAACGCGACATGTTACATGGTGATACGTCACTTTCTAAAAATTTAGGACATAAAAACAACGTGATGAATCATTCAAGTTATGCAAATACATTTGATATATTTTAATCTCAAAATATGTATTTTTTTTATTTGTTACTTATTTATGTCCACTTATTATGTTGGTAATTATATATATTCAATACAAGTCTAACAAGTTATGGACTCATATTCAATTTTTAGAAGCTAGAATCGACATTATAATTATGCTAATAAATGTCTGACACGTGTCCAATAAGTGTTAGAAATATCCAACACGGACACGTTACTCAAACTAAAGTATCGTTTATACTTTTCTTAGATATTTATTAAGTAACAATTTAGGCCTTCAATTTTAGTAGGTAACAATTTAGTTCCAAAAATCTAAAATTTATAACAATTTTGTCTCTACTATGAAAAATCTTGTCAAAGACGTAAAATATTGTAATCCCTAATGAGATTTCTCATGGTAAAACTAAACCGTCACTAGCGAGTTTTTTCATGGTAAAAACTAAACCATCACAAATTTAAAATATCTGATGGTGAATAAAGGGGTACCTACCATTCACAAATTGAATAGAAAATGCTTCGGCCAGTTGAATTTAGGGCATCTCGCATAGGTGGGTATCTGGAAAATCACATGATTAACTTCAAAAAATCAGAGAGGATTAGGCCCCAATCCCCAATTTACCAATATATAATCAAAGGAGGAAGATTTAGAGAAAGAAGTGTGAAGCGAACCGTTTTTGTGGTTCGATTCCCATATCGTAACAGTTGTCATACTTCAAATAATCGACCCCCTAACAAAATTAAGCCCGTATGATTTTGCTTTTAGTCTTACTCAAAATATGTAGTACAAATAAAAAATATTATCTTTTTCTTATGTACCCTAGATGGTCTTCGTCGAGGGTTAACTGATGTAAGATTATATTTGCATCTTCAATAATGTGTTAGCTACCAGTTAGTAACAAAAAGAATTTGGATTCACCATGTCGATATCAAAGGTCGTTGGCTTACAATTACTCACCCAATCAGCAAACATCATTGCGTCGCGAAATTCTTGGCCATATGACCCTGGTCGACGTTGGCAAGTTAATTCCCTGCAGGGGTTCGACACCGGTAGGTTAATGAAATGAGCAAGAACAACGACAGAGAAAAGAAAAACATGATGATTTTATTTCTCCTACCCAGCATCTGAATATATTCCAAGCTTCAAGCCTTTCCCATGAACATAATCAGCAAGAGCTTTAATTCCTTGAGGAAAAGAATTGGCATCAGGAATCATTAGCCCCTGCACAAGTTAATGGGAGCCCCTTAGCAAGGACTTTAGTTTCTATGAAACTTATTGAAAATCACTATATTTTTATATGGCTTTATATGTTGATCTCTTTTAATTTTGCCACTTTGCACTTTCTCATAAAATATATAGGATCTTTTGATACAAATTAAATGCTAAGTTTTGGTTCGGAAATTTTCAAGTTAGTGTCTATTTAGTTTATATATGTACTGCAAAAAGTTTTTAATAGGTTCTCTAAACTTTTAAGGTTGTGTTTATTTGTTGAAAATAATTATCATTTCATTAAAAAGGCACGTTAATGATCATAAACATGCAAATTGTAATGACCATAAACATATAAAAGAAAGAGGTTAAGTTATTTCAATTAAAAAAAAATGCTAGTTCTAATTAAGCAAAACGGTAAATATGTCATCATTATAAAAAGGAAGGGATTTAGAAGACCAAGTGAGGCAGAGATTTTAATATCTTCCCAAAAATGAGCGCTCGATCTAGAACTATATGAGAAAGATCAATTATTTCTTTTCCACAAAATATTTCAGAGAATAGCACGAACGTACTGTGTTATACCAAAGAATAGACCTACTAATGTTTGAATGGAAGGATAGATTCTCCTTAAGAAAATTCTCAAGATTATGTTAATTTGGTCTTTTTATGTGTTAGGAAGATTCTTTGGTAGCACCTCTGGATTATCATTTTTGTGTCTAATAGATTACTACATATCGATTATGAACTTTGTTTTTAATACTTATACCATCAAATGTCTAAACCTAACTACCTGAAATTGGTTCATCGTGGAATCCTAATTAAATAATATATAGTCAGCATGTCATATAAGTGTTAAGCTAATGGAGTTAACAACACGGATCTATTTTATTAAAAAAAAATTAAGATATAGTGAACTTGAAAATTTAGAGATCTATCCATTGAAACCAAATAAAACAAAATAATTGACCAAAACTTGTAAATAAATAAAAAATTCACATATAATTTCATAGGCAAAAATTATAATTGTTTTATTATTGAACAAAATGGAAAGGAGATAACCAGAACTCTCTCCTTATAGGCCCAGCAATCATCTGCAATAATTTGAAACAATAGTAATTAAGTTAGTTTCAAAACAGAACAAAAGATGAAGAAAATGTTTGTGGTTAAAAATGGTGGAAATTTTACCTATATTCACATACACATAGCCTAATTCAGCCAGTCCACTGGAAACAAGTGCATCAGCTGTCAAAACCAACTTTTTACCACTCACATATATTGGTTGGGATTGAAGTAAAAATCAGAGTGGAATTGACTAACACTGATTTTTGAAATTTAACTAGGGACTAAATTGAGACTTTGAAAATCTTGATTGGAACTTTTAAAATTATAGTAATCATAGTAAATTTTTAAAATTATAGAGTCCAAATTGAAACTAAATCAAAATTATTGAAACTAAATTAAAAGGTCAAAATGACGAGGACTAAATTGAAATTATGCCTAATAAATTAAGAATAATAGTACCAAAAAAGGAGAAAAATAAAAGGAAAATACCAGTTTCCTTGATGACAGTTGCATCAACATAGCAGCCAAAATGGTTCCAACTATTCCATCTGATGAGCAAAAGAAAGATTACAAAAAAACACTCTCTAAAAAATGGGACGAGAGAGAGAGAATTAGAGACTTATAGAGAAAGAGAGAGACCCCATGGGAGGTGTCTTGCCCAAGCCATTGTCAAATTGCAGAATGCCATACTTGGAGTTGTTAAAAATTTGATGGAACTTTGACGTGGAAATCGAACTATCGAAACCGTGCAATGGTAGCTCAACTGTCATCTCGGACGCCCCCGAGAGCGATAAAATCAGTAAGAACACCGATATGATCCTTGCCCTCATTGCCATTAATCGATGCTGAGATGAATTTCCAAAGAGAGCTAGGCAATGTTCAAACAATGCCACAACTAAGCTAATAAAAGAAAAAATTTTCATGGTGAAACAAAGTCAACTTTTTCTAGTTAGCAACAAGATAATACTTGGCTTGTACCTTAGTTTATTTTTCTTCTTCTTATTAAATTCTAGGCCTCATAAATTGTGGGGTTGCATCTCAATTTTGAGGCCAAAAAGTTGCATCTCCCAACTAATTCTGCTGCAGAAATTAATTTAATGCTATTGAGCTAAAGAGTTGGAGAGGGGAGAGGTTGGATTTATAACACATACTTTGAAGTTGAGACGTGTCCCAAATGACCACCCGCGGGTGGTGGCATAGTGAGCTCGTGGCTGGATGGAGATATACTTCACTTTCTGGTATTGCAGTTTTCCTTCCCCTCCATTTGGGGATGAGTCTTGTAACATCCATTACAGTGTTGGATGGCCGTCAACACTCTTAGTTATAGAGACTCAAGTGACAACGCGACATGGATTGTGTTATAAAAAAAAAAAAATTTGAGAGATGTGTCTCAAATGGTATTTACTTTGATGTCGTTTGATAATCATCTCATTTTTTACTTTCTAATCTTAAAAACGAAATGGTTATCTAAATGAGACATTTGTTTTTATGGGGTATATTATATGAATTCTAAAAATTTTGGAAAAAAATAGAACAGCATGGATGGTAGTAATCATAATATCAAATTGCAATTATCCTTTCAAGAGCAAAATCATTGTAATAAAACCTTATTGTTATATATAAATATAGGTTAGTAGTTGTGTTTTGAAGTCCTTTTTTTTTTATTCCTTTTTGAGTATGACATGTGGAGAATCAAACTCACAACTTCTTAATCGAAGATGTGTGCCAATTATTATTGAGCTATGTTCGTCGAAGTCTTTAATTGGTAACAGTTTCATAAGTTGAGGGCATAATTGCTACAACGCTAGTAACTTATTAGGTAGTTTTAGGGTTTAAGATTTACGGTTTAGTTATAACAACTCTTATACTTAGACTATCTTTATAACATCAAAAGTCTAATTGCAATGGTTTCATTGTCAAGACCCATTACACAACTGTCGTGATAACTCTAAAGAGAGTTTGCAACTTTTCCAAAATTTTAACTCAAAATAATTTTTAAAGTTTTTTAATTGAATGAATATGATGCAATATATACACATTTATTTTCGTTGAAGATGTAATTTTTTCACGAAAAGTCAAACATACAACATAGACTCAATTAACATTCTAATTTATATTCGTGACCATTACCAAACCAATTAAGTTATACTTGTGTTAACGATTTTCTTACATATTTCAATCGTGTCAATAAATACAACCACTATAATAAGGGGGGGTTAGGTGGGGAGAGGAGGACTTTCATTGGACACCAGTAGTGGTAATATCTTCAACCGTACATTTGTCCCTCTATAGTTAAAATTTATTCAAATTGATTGTTTTATGTTCCGAAAAATTACATGTTTAGTCCATCAGTCTAGTTTAATATATAAATAAGACACTTATTATTATCTTAAATATCGATGTGATTCATGATGGAAAAAAAATCACCTAAGAGAAATGTAAAGAAAGCAATAAAATAAAGAAACACAAGAATTAATGTGGAAAAACTCCAAACTGGATAAAAAAACGACTGTTCACAAGGGAAAAATCTACTATGTAAAAATTTATTACAATATTTCACTCCCAACCCGAATTACACAAAACATGGTATATCAGGCTTAAAAGAATTTCAATTGGAATGATTAAAATCCAAGTTCATGAGTAGTTAGAACACATTCCTCCTTGTGCTTTTTCGAGGTAGGACAACTTCTAGAGACCATCCTTATACTCTTCCAACGTGAAACATCTTTCATTCCAATATTTGCAAAATCTAACAATTCCATCCTTCACCCTATCATTGTTCAACTTAAAATAAGTACACACCTTCGAAGCAGCAAGAAGTTTAGGATGGGATGACTTTAGTGCAACATCTCCAACCATACATTAACTATGGAAAAATGCTTTTAAATATTAAGAAAAAAATATATTTCCTACCTTAATTATAGTCTTTAGAATAATCTCTCCGTGACACATTTCTTTTAAATTGTTCTTCATTTTTAGGCCTCATTTATTTATATTCTCATAATTTCTCTCGCTAACTTTTCATCACAAAACGCACTTTTATCGACTTTTCTCATTACTTGTACACGTGTTTTTTTCCTCTTTTAATCTCTCTCTCGAGATACACTTTAGTCTCTCTTTATAATACAAATTCTCTTATTAAATAACTCTCTATATTCACATTTTATTTATCGTTCATTTTCATTTTTTTATTTAATAAAATTACCTTTTTTATTTATTTGATGTGTTGATTTTTGAAAACATTTGTTGTGTAAATATCAATCATTAAAAAATTTTATAATTAGATCAAAGTAGTTTGTTATTATAAAATAATTAGTGTGAGTTAGATTCGAACACATCAATTGAACTTTTATATGTTTAAATTTTAATCAAATAAATGTACTTCATTACTCAAATTAATAACATCAACCTAAGCTAACTCAATGGATTAAAATATATATTCTAAAAAAATCAAAGGTTTGAATCTTTTCTCTCTACATACTATTTTTTTTAAACAAATAAACATTGCATCAAAAAGAAACAAGACCACTAAGAGTTACATCATAAGAATGACGACTACGCAACACTGTCACGATACGAAGGTAAACAATTGTCCCAAAGGACAGAAAAACAATTAGAAATGACCCACTTGACCAATAAAACAGCTTGCATGTTCAACTAACTATAAACATATATAAATTTTAGCCCACTAAACACTTTCTCAACATCCTCAATTAATGGAGGTATCTTATCAATTATGGCTCCATATTCACAATTGGAAAGGAAATAATTGCCTCCAAAGTTGTCTTATTGCCCACCATGATATATGAGGAAAGATTAGGCAAATTCCCCAAATCACATTGGTCATGGATCTTAATATAATTTAGATTGATAACCTCCCCAGATTCCAAAACGGTGTTCGAGTTGATTGTCGTTGGCACCTTCGTCGTCGTCCACCTTCTGCTATGTCTTCCTTGCCCCTTGGCCATAGAAGTTCTTCGAACCAAGATGCAACAAAGATGAAGAGGTATCCCAAGAGATCGCAAGCAGGTGCCCTCTCTAATTTTGTGTCTGATAACTCTTCAAAACTTCTAGATGACGAAGCCATAGACCATACATAACAATGCTACCTTTGATTTTGTCAGTCGCAATGACACTGTCAACATCCAACTGGGAGATCCTGACACCCAGCCACCGTCCGCGATCACATAAACCAGTGGGGAAGAATGATCCTCTTTGAAAATCACCTCCATAACAGCAAGAGATTTTCCTAATATATTTCGATCCATACTACTCACTTCTTGGAAAAAAACCATGGAAGAAACGGAACAAAGCATAAAAAAAACACCCTCTAAAAGAACTCAGTCGGATGACTGAGAAAAAATGAACTCTATGGGGAGGAAGAGAGGAGGGGGTAGGTGGCTGACCATCTGCCCCATCCCCGCATACATATTATTTAACTAAAAAAAACTCAAATTAATAATAGAGATAATGTTGTATTGTAACTATAACATATATATATATAATTCTACCAGAACTATTTAGTTAATCACTTGATTAAATCTTTCAATTACTTGATTAAAAGTTAGTTGATTTAATTTACCACAAACTACTGTTATAATTGAGGTGTGGTAGCTAAAACGAGTATAACTCAACGGTAATTGACATATCTTCAACCAAGAGATTGTGAGTTCAATTCCCACCCCACGTGTTGTACTAAAAAATTGGAAGTGTGATAACATTAATTGACATAAATTCATTTTTAAATGAGTGATAGTTTGTGTGACCACTCTTGATTGACATGTGTACACTAATTTAATTATTTAAATCAATTATTTGAAAAAATCAAATGAAAACTTATGAGTTGGCTAAACCTAGACCGTGGAAGGTCCAAGAGCATTGATTAGTAGGCTTGTTTCATAATCATTTCATTTTACTGCCAATTTCTTTGTATGTCTTTTTTAAAAACACATTTAGAATTTTATTCAAATTTTTTAAAATACTATTTTTTAGTTTTCAAAACTTAACTTAGAAATTTGAGCACATCTTTTAAAATATATGTCAAAGCAAACAAACACATAGATTAAGCAATGTTTATAGGCTTAATTTTTTAAAACATAAAAAAATAACAAAGTTTAAGCATACGTGTTCTAGTCAAATTAAATGTCATGGAGGTTATCAAGCTACTAAACAAAGTTTATTTAAAAAATCAATTCCTCTCTGGTTCGTTTGGTACCATTTCCATTTTTTGTTTTTGTTTCTTCTTCTTCTTTTTTTTTTTTTTTTAAATAAAGTAAATAGAATGTGAAGACCTCAAGATTCATAGATTCAAGGATGATAAAGCAAAATCTTTATTTATGTTAGAACAAATTAGAAACAGGAACAAAAAAACGAAAAAAACTCGTCTGTGTTGTTTCCAAAATTTCTATACAATTTTGATGATGTTTCTAAAAATGAGAAATAAGAAACCTACATAGTCGTAAAATGTTTAGATTTCTTAATAAAATTAAAAACGAGAAACAAGAAACAGAAACGTTACCAAACATGTCTTTAGCTTTGAGATTGATTTTGGTCATGCCAAAGTCATTTTTGTCATTGTGAAATCACTTCTCTTTTCGGTGATTATGTTTGGCAAATTAAGTAATTAATTTATGAAAGTTTAAAATTATTTTAAATTGAATGATAATTTTGAAAAATCAATATACCTAAATAGCTTTTTTTGCAAAATCAATTATTCTACTATCACTCCCAAACATACATCTAAAGTCTTTGGGATGACTTTGAAAAAACATTTATTTCTAAATAAATTCACTTTTTTACCGGTACTTTAAAAGAATTACTAATTAAGAGTGTTCTAGTACAATTTCTTAAGTAATTTTATTTAACTACAAATATTTTTTAAAAGATCAACCATATTTGATAATAAATAAAATTATATTTTTTAAAAATTATATTACTTTAAAATTCATTTTTGAACATAACACCGA